GAAAGTACTCCCATTTATAGGCTTGTGATGACTCCAAATAAGGGAATGTCTTTTAAACAGTAACAATGTGATGTTTTTAAGCATCAAAAAACAAATATAATAGTTCGCTTTTAAAACTAATTTACCGTGTTTAAGGGTCAGGTACACCAAATATGGAACGGATATAAGGAAAATCACATTTAGGCTTACAGACTTTGACAGGACACGTGTGCAACAATTCCCGAACATACTACACTCAGATATTCAGATACCGATGCTCTGAGGCAGAGACCATCAAGCGTTCTAACCAAAAAATTAAGGAGATTTCAGCGCTGGTAACAAACTGCGATCACCGAAGCTCAAATAACAAAAGAAGGCACAAACCAGGGAGTCTTGAAAAAACGTAGACCCGGATGACTAGGAAAAAAGATTGACAGTGGTATTACTAATGAAAATCACTCGTGAAAGCTGCTGGAAATGGTACTTCCTATGTCTGCTCCCAATTATAGGCTGTAAAATTTCAAATGTTATGTGACATCATGATTGCCTTTGGGATTCGCAGTTGATTTTTTATGAAACACCTTACGCTCACTTGTTTCTGAATGCACGATATCCCCTTTAATTAGAGCTTACCCACACTGGACACTAAATATGATATCACATACAGGACTGCATTTACGAGGTTCACTAACTTGGGCAGACAGCCCATGCGGTCATACATGGTCCAGACTCATGGGTATCGGCTTTCATTGCAAAGCCGGTACTCAAACCCTGATGGCACTAGCCCATTTTGTTGATACTGGACGGTTATCAATGATTATATTGTCACTGGATAAGAAATTAGTCAAGAGTCAGTCTGACACCGGGGATTCCAGGCCATGCGGCATCATGAGCATACCTGGCAAGATCGAGTGGGAAACGTGCACAATTTCGTGACTCCGATCCACATACAAGGCTATTTCACGTATACCACTATTGTTTAAGGTGGCTTACACCTCCCAAAATGTAGGCACAATTTGGTACTTGGATGGCATAAAACTGTCAAACCACAAGACTCCTTGTTTCAGTTCTCTTCAGTCATTTTACGGTAGACACGGAAGTTGGAATGAATTCTTGAATCAACATGTCAAACTGCCTGAAAAGGTGCATACAAAAAGCAGAAGAATGGTAAGTGATTATCAGGCCAAATTATTTCGGTTGCTGTTGACGTGCGGCAAACTTTATTGCCACGCCGCTTATGAATATGGGGCTTAATTGGTTGCCTAAACCAGTTATCTTAAGCGAGCGGAAGCCCATAGCACTCAACTAATGCACTGATTTCAGAGCTGGATAAAATGGTCCAACCAGATCCTTTTCGAACCCTGCTGTCGCCAGGTTTTATGCGGAAATTGGCCAAAGCGCTTGATTTTCAAATCAAAACGAAGTTTAAAAAAGAAGAACCAAAAATAGAACGTAGGCTAAATCGCTTTTAGGGGAAAAAGAGCAACTGAGATCGACTCTTTTCATAAACCACTAAACTTGAGTACGTTTGAGACTTCGCCAGATTCTATCAATCTCTCATGCAAAATTAATATCAGCAAAGAATTTATTCGTTTTAATTTTAGAAGGAGAATAGCCCTTTGTCTCAGTGTTTATAAACTTTCCACAAACTTAGCACCAAGTTCGACTGTTTTTTCTTTTAAAACGTTGGGGATGATTTACCATCAAAGATTTTGGTTGCGTTTGTTGTGTTGCTAATTGGAGGAATAGGATTTTTATTTCCGTTGCCACCTTGTTGAGGCGTACTGGGCTGCTTTTCTCGAAGGGCGGTGACTTTCATCCAGATTTTAAGACTTCTTTTAGCGCCATTCAAAGTAAGCTTTTTAAACACCCTTCTTATTTGAATGTATATTTAATAGTCTTCACGTAACCCCGAACAAGAAGATAGAAAAAAGGAGCCACTTTTATGCAAAAGTGCAACAAAATGACGGAGGTTCCAGAATTTCACTTAAGCTCGAGATGCATGTTCAGCGTGCACGATAAATCTACTGATATTTTCGTCTGGGATGAAGCTTCAAAATGAACGGCAATTAAATATTTCTAACGAAACGACAAAAAATCATAAATACTCCGCGATAAACACCCGCGATGGATAGTTTATTGTTCACGCTCTTTGTCGCTCTTTGGGAATCTGCGTTTTAATGCTGTAGTAAACAAAACCCCTTTTCTCCACTGCAGTACTGTGAACTAAGGAGATTGTATATGATTGGTGAAATTCACCAGTAGGAACTGAAGGGTGATTCAGGTGTCCGCTAAGAAACTGACGCTTTCAGTCTCGGAGTACAAGCAGACGCAGAACACAGACATTTTTCTTATATTATTTGTATGTGCTTGATATGACACCCTACAACAGCAAAACATTGGACGGCCGGTGACACACATCATGTCATTTCCTGTATTCTGTATCAGTGAAATCGGTACTGGTTTGGCGAGCAGTTAAATCTGAAGAACCGACGCTGCTGTCGAAAGCCTGTGTTCACAAACTATTCTGTTAGACATAACCTAGACGCATGTTGACTCAGCTTTACCTGGTGAACTTCTGACCTTCTCTGATCAAATCATTTGCCGCGCTGAGACAACTGGAAAAATGTGACATCGTTTAATATCATTTAGTGTACTTCTTTCAAAACCCTTCGAAAACGGTTTAATTAATGTTGCACGCCGTACATCTCTTGTAGGCTACGGAGTAAGTTATTGTTGCTTCGCCCATTGTGGTCAGAAATGCTCCTCAGGGTACATAATTCACAAAAATAGTGAAGACTAAAGAAGCCGCATTTTTGTGAAAAAAGATTTTAAAAAATATGTTTTCGGCTATCATACCCATGCCTACGATTTATCAAACAAAATAGTTGAAAAGTGAGAGTTTTCGAAGTTAGGTGATCCACATATATTGAGACCAGCGATAAAGGAATCTCCATAAAAATGGAAGTCATGAATGATAAGATGAGAGCAAATGATCATGATCATTTTGTTGTGCGCATTAATGACAGACTGTCTTTCCCACTGATTAAACTTTCTAAATTTCACTTTTATCCAAAGGTAATTAAATGATTCCTCAGAATGAGAAGTGGGTAGTCGAAGAGATTCTAGAAGCCCCATACGATTTGGGTGACAAGTATTGCGCAAACTCTAAAAGGATGTGAAACCAAGCCTGAAGGGTCCTTATGCAGCACATTCGTATGCAAAGTATAATTGGCAATTGACTTAACCGAGTCTTCTGTCTGTAGTTGAAGATGCATGCATTGCTTTACTTAGGCAGATTTTAGTCTACCTTTTAGTACTATTTTCTTTACGACGCTAACAATCTGGTTTGAGCTTAGTTGTGCCATCTCTGTGGAAACCACTATGTACGTCATGATATGAACGGTTTAAAAGATTTTCCAAGACCATTCTTGTTCGTGCGCTTGCATGATTTTCCAACGCCATTCCCATCCGTGCGTTTAGATCTGAACCATTTTTGAAATATAATTGCAATTGGTTTCAGGTTCACTTTGTGTACCGAAAGACGTAATAGTTCATGTACTCACAAAAGTCGTTTCTATGCACGCAACGGCCATCGAAAAGATTGACGAGAATGAAAAGAACTAAAGGTTAGTGCATCTTCTTTCTCTCATAACCGCCTTCCAATCTGAAAATATTCGCCCACATCCCTCTTGGAAACAGGAAGTTTGAGATCATGGATATTTTTTTGAAGGAGATGCTAAATGTAAGTGAGGAAGAGAGTATATCCCCTAAAACTTCACTAGGCATACCTCAGCCAGCCTACCTAACTGAAGGATCGAGAGCAGTGGATTCTGCATTCTTCATTACCATCCATTGTAGCGAGTCTTAATCATATTAAATCCTTTCTGCTGCAGACAGTAACGACTGCAGTTTGGGTCACCTGGACTATTGAGACAAGAGTCGCTGGACAGGTACTACTGATTTCAAAGAAAGTCGCCTTGCTCTAACAGGCACCAGCAGTCAAGCTCCTAACTGCAGGGAAGCTTTCTTTCAGGAACGTGCAGTGGTTATCGCGCAAACTTACTAAACGAAAGAACCTCGTTTCAAAAGCAACTCTAACACCTGAACTACTGCCCCCGCTCTAGTGACATAGCAGTATCTTGAACGAAGTGCCTCCGTTTGGTAACATGGCAGCTTTCACCAAAAGAATATTACATCTGAACGCCCTGTAGAATCTTTTCAAACGCTTCACAACTAGAATTCTGTCGCGGATCTGAAAAACGCAACATGTCAGAAGGTTTATTTCACCTGCCATAGCAATTCTCAAAGGCCACTATTTCGAAAAGTGTCATTATTTGGCGAGCTTCACTTGTCACATGTCAGTAGAGTCTACATTGGAAGCTAGGGGACGAAACCCACCGAGTTTTTCACCTCAAAATTTCCGATTACTGACAGAAGCAGTATGAACTCATTAGGCCGAAGGATAGTCGTGGTTAATCCGCAAGCAGATCTTTCTACCTTTTCTACACTGCAAACACTCGGGTGGTGTGAAAAACTCTCCATGGACTAAAACTTCACAATTGTCCTCCAACTTAGCAGCTTTATGAATACCCGGAACGGTTTAGTTTTTACGGTCACTGCAATCGGATTTACTGTTTGCCCTCCATAATAAGAAAACAATACTTTTGAAGGGTTATCGCCAGTTATTTGAGGGCTCACATATGCGCATTTTAAGAAGTTAGACTGTTGGTAATTGATCAGGTGGCTGTTGATCTGTTCGCCGAGCTTGGCAATTGATTTGCAAACGTTTCATCACCATTCGAGGAGACACCTTCAGTGCGCTGAAGAAGAAGTGCGCGCCGAAGACGTCTCCTCGAATGGTGCAAATCAATTGCAAATCAATTGCCAAGCTCGGCGAACAGACCAACAGCCACCTGATCAATTACCAACCAATACACCCGAGCTACCAATATTCCAAAACATTACCAAGTTAGACTGTGTGTTATAATTAAAGCATTGGACGGATATTTTTTACAAACCTTTATATATCCATGCTGATCCAGTAGAATGTTCTCAGGTTTCAAGTCCCGGTACAAAACTTCCATGAAGTGAAGGTATTCGAAAGCCAGCACAACCTGACTTGCGTAAAATTTTGCTGCCGAATCACTGACTTGAATTAGTGATTTCTTTCTTTACTAAGCCTCACCTGAATCTTCCACGCCTTCTTAAATGGGAAAACATTTCTCCACCCTGTACATACTCCAGAGCGAGAAACAGATAGTGCTCGTTCTGAATCAATTTAGGGAAGAGGCTATTTACGAACATCTACCTTGAAACTATAGAAAAGCTTGATGAAGAATGGGAAGTCGACGGCTGCCAGAATTCGCTTCTCGTTCAGGATGTGGTCAACTTGTTTGAGCTTCACTATCTGATTGCTTAATCAAATGGATGCAACGAACTTACTTTTTCTTTGTCCATGACTTTTAAGGCGAAAAATGCTTTTGTCTCTTTAAGTTGGACTAAGAGCACACGTCCGAATGAACCAGTTCCGAGAGTTCTGATGGTTTTAAAATCTGATAGGGATGCCCTTTTCTGAAAAGTATGTGTATATCCCATTGAGAAACCTCACAAACCAAACCCACCGATTCACCAGTGGCCCAACGATAGAAGTATTGAACTTTTGCGTCGTTCAAATATGTTTTTGTAAGATCATCTTAAAATACATTCTTAGGCAAGTTAGTTACCATCTTCCATCGTAGATTTTCTTAAAGACTGATTTGCTCCCATTCTGGCGCGCTATCTCCTGCGCTCTGTTTGAAAACGTTGTGTAGGACAAATTGGAGGTCAAGGGTACAATTTGTTTAATTAAAGCATTATCAACAGTCAAAGTAGTTTAATTGACAATGATTCCCACGATCAAAAGACGGTTTGGTGTCTTTTGGCTTGGTTTCTTTTTCATCCTCTCTTACCGTTTGGGGTGTTATGAGTGATGGTGCTCCACTACTAGCGAAAGGAAGAAGGCCTTCGCTGTGGAGTTATTTATTCGGAAATGCCAACTGACCGGTTACAGACCATTGAACAAGGAAGCAAAACTCTAATCTGCATCTTAGTTACAAAACCTGGACACAGATCTTCTCCCGAACGATTCTTCCTGGAGACTCATTGTCTCCAATCATTCGTCGGTCAAATATAAGCAAATGTTACAATGTGGCCCCGCGAATTGCGCAACAGAATTCCATTTTTCAATCGACGCAAAGCGAAATTCTACGAACAAGACATGCTACTCGTGTGCCTCCCGATCAGTAGTATCATCGTGATGGTGCTTCACTACTAGGACCAGCTCCAGTGGAAGAACTATATAGGACCATTTTCCAGAAATTTCATGAGGCTGACGCGCTGTTTGTCCCAAAAAACAGCGCGCGCTCGGATGAACCGGAGGCTGCCAAAAAGGATTCGGCGACCTCTGGAAAAAAGATTCCAACTTTTTTCAAAAACTTAACTACAGGGCATACAGAAGATGATCTGGCATTTCGTAAAATGCAGAACCCCTGTAAATACGAAATCCACCATTGAAACATACGAAAAACAAGCTGCCATCCTGGACCTCGCTCGAAAAAACAAAAACGTCTTGTTCGAACACATGAGAAATCGCCGCAGAAACAAGCCATCCGCGTTCTCCTTGAGGGACAGAAGCGAAGAACCGACGAGTGATCAAACAGTGGTATCTGATGCTTACGAAATACACTATGCCTGTCTATACTCAGCCCCAGCGTCCTGGTCTCATCCACTCTTGCCAAGGCGTAACTACTAACAGTCTCTAAGAGACTTGGTCTTCACGGTAAGGGACGTTCGTCAATTCTTGCAAAAGATCACCCCATTCTGCGCTTTGGGGCCCGACGGGGTCCATCCAATGATTCTGAAGGAACCGTCCTCCACACTGGCAAATCATCTACACCTAGTGTTTCGTCAGTCGCTTGACGAAGGCCGCCTTATCTCTGCTCCGAAGGGAGCGATTGTCACGCCAATCTACAAATCCGGTGACCGACTATCGCCTGGCAGCTACAGGCCTATAAGCGCGCCGTGCAAGGTGATGGAACGCATTCTGAAGCGAGCTATCCTAGATCACCTTCCAGCAATATGATATCTCCAGCTCAACGCGGATTTCTCCCAAACAGCTTTTGCGTGACAAACATGCTCGTGTTTATGGACAGCTTAGCCCAAGCCAGGGACGAGGGACTCATATCGGATGCCATATTTTTCGACTACTCAAAAGCATTCGACAGGGTCCCACACATCCCGCTGCTCCACAAACTCGAGTCTTACGGGATTCCTGGGAAAATTCTTTGCTGGACCAAGGCGTTCCTATCAGACAGATCATTCCGAGTGAGAATAGGCTCGACCTACTTTTCTCCAGCGCCGGCCTCCATTGGAGTTTCTCAAGGCTCCGTCCTGGGACCAGTGCTGTTTCTGGTCAACGTCAACGACCTCCCAGATGTTCTTGCAAGTCCATGTCTACGTTTTGAGGACGACTTGAAATCCTGGAGTTCCAGTGCCAGTGCCCTCCAAATGGATGTAGACGCTGCCAAGCAGTTGGACTGGCACCTTCCTCTGAATGATTAAAAGTGCGTCCATACGTCGTTTGGAGGGGATTCAACGAATGCCTTTGTTTTGCATGGTGAAAAGGGACCAGAAAACATCATGAGGATAGATGCCAAAAGGGATTTNTTGTTCGCATTGGCTTCCAAATATTCTATGGGGCCTACGTCAGACCGCTCCTGGAGTACGCCAACCAAGTTGTCTACTCAGGACGCACGAAAGACGTCACCCTAATTGAGCGTGTACAGCTAGCCGTCACGAGAATGGTTGCTGGCATCAAATCCGTGGACTAGGAAACGCGCCTCGCGATGCTTGATCTTTTTCTCCTGGAGTACCGTTTCCTCCGAGGGGACCTTATTCTTACTTGTGTCCTGTTTGAACAAAGCTTGGTAAACAGGTTTTTCACCGTTGACCCAGCAAACACACGGCGAGGACATAGTAAAAAATTTCAAGCTCAGAGCACACACATTCATTAGAAGAAATTTTTTTCTCACTTCGGGTAGCAGGTGCGTGGAATGACCTTCCTCCGACGGTTGTCCACGCTGCTTCTAGAACCCAGTTCAAAGGTCTATTAGACATTTATTTATACGAATCCTCGCGCTGACAAGCTTAACGCCCCACGCTGAGAACATAAAGAGCAGTGCTACACCCCTTTTTCATTTGCGCCTTTCAGGTGAACGACAGCCACTGACCGACAAGAACAAAAGCAACCCGGGAAACATGGGCAAATGCCTCGATTCTGTGTATCAATCCGTGAATCCGTGAACCATTTGGTTCAAGCACATGTTGGCCCCTTAGGAACTTCAGTTGGTCCCGTTATTACCTCTGGCATATGCTCCGGACCCCTTCCACGGCTTTATCGGCCTCCTTGTGTGTCAGAAAATGTTTGAGAGACTGTATATGCGCTGGGCCTTCTATTATGGTTGTGACATCCCGTTCGTTTGTCGTGTGTATTTGAACGGATGCATCAAATCTCGGTGTTTTTATCAGTGATACCGGGCAAGGAGAGTAAATTGATCCCGTGGAGTTTATTGTCGGGGGTACAGTGATTATAACAACATATTCATTTCCAAACTTGCTGTTGGGAAAGTGCTAACAACCCTGCCACGATTTGACCGTCCAGCGTTTGTACCTCCTCGCTTTCGTTGCGTGAAACTCAGTCGGGGTGCCGATATTCCGTTAGTGCTAAGGTGCGCACAGAGTTTGGAAGACTGAATGACTGGAAGCCCTTTGTATGAAGCGTCCTCGTAAGCTTCCATACGTCTTCCAGTTGCACCATCCTTGGATCGTTATATGAATACGTTTTCAGGGCCACCCTGCAGAAGCATTCTTGGGTCTTGTGCCGCCCACTTGACAGGCGAGTCACGCCTGTGAAATTATAGCTCTTGGTTCTTCTCAGGAAGCCCACATCTTGAGCCTGAGTTTCTCTATGTCAACAGACCATTCGAATTTCCGATATCACTTCCGGTCTCCTGATGCTTTGTACATTTTTCCTATTGCCGTTTGGTTGGGGGCTCAGGTGAGAACTTTTCGCACTTGAGGTGGCCACAACTGGTGTCTGTTCAAAAACTCTCGGTTGTGGCTATAAACCAGGTTCAGCCGGACTGGTCCTTCTTCAGGTGTTCGAATTTGAACAGCTTTCGACGTTGCCAAGGCTGGTTGTTTCTAATGACAAGTGTTTGGTGAGCTTCCATAAGCTCTCAAGCAGTTTATCTTCCGTTCAAACAAGGGAGAGAAGGCTGATGTTCAGTACTGCAGAAGTGGCCGCATGAACGTCAAGCTGAATCTCCGGACTGTGGCGTTACTGCAAAGCGTAAAGGAAGCTCCACACCCAGTAATCTTCGATTAGCACGTGTTTTAGACTTTTGGTGTGATCACGGTCAAGCATTTGCAACGTCTCCTCCTAGAGTAAAACAGTGGAAGTGTACTAATTTTCAAAGTTTCCATTCATGCAAATACTGACAGTGTTTCTGTTTGTGAAGCGAAACCGTTTTTCCACCTAGTGACTAGTGTTTCGACCCTGTTAATTTCGGACGGACGCTGCTGGAGTGATAACAGATCGGCGTGGACCGAGGTCGCTGGAGCACGCCAGGTACAGTGCACCAACTAACCACGATATTCTGCTATAATAGGGAATAGGCAGTGTATTGTATACCAAACCATGAGATCCGTTCAAAGAAACCGATGTACATCCGTTCATTATAGAGTGGGTGGAAGTGAATGTCCAGAAATTCGGGGTTAATAGATGGCAAAGCTTTCGCATTTTCTAACAAATCAGGGAGGAATCAATTTTCCAGAATTTTTTCTGGATCGGTTGCACTGTTATTAGTATCCCTCCCCAGCAAATGTCAGCAATCTGTTCAAACGTCTAAACTAACGATTTGCATGACCTCGGATGTTGTTCACTTCCCGATCTCATGGCAGTGCGAAATTGGCTAAGGTCTCAGTGTTTGTCTTCAACGTGAGAATTGTGTTCATTTTGAGGGTGCTCTTAGAGCAGCTAATCAGCATCGTCTTTACCAGGCTCTGTAAACCAACCACACTCGCATTCAGACGTTGAAATAAGGCTATGTATGGTTGACAACCCAACAGGTGCGTCTAGCAAATAGTTGTAACTGTCTCTATTTTGACGAATAAATTTCTGATCCTTTTTACCTATCAGCTCAGTGGGAATATTTCATTGATAAGTGGAATTATTCTATAAGCTAAATACTGGTCCGTGTTTCTGGCTATCTACAAAAGATGCGTAAATTTTGCTCCCGGCATGGTAAGCGAAATGGCGCACTTTTTCCCAAACATCCGGTTAATCGAAGGAAAACGCGTTCTTCTGGGCATGCAAAGGCTGAGCAATATAACGATTGTCCAATGGCGCATTCCGGAGTAGGATGGGGAATTACTTTTACGTGCTTCCGAATGTGAGAAAAGGTTGATGAATACTCTGCATTACTCCCGAGCCCCAAACTTCTTCAAGACTTTATAAATCAGGTAATGGTGGATAGTTTTCTAAGCTGGCTATTTAT